GCCATTGCGTATGTTACACACCATTTTTCTTAACAAATTGTATAATGACGAAATCATTACGTAGGAGGTTTATATTACAAAATATCGCATCGAACTACTTTTACAAGTATTTCGATACACGCTAACTCTTGTTAATGTTTTGAAGAAAGCAATTGGTTTTTAATATACATTATGACACTTGTTCTATTTGCTTGATAGAAATATAAATTTTATTTCATGCGCAAAGATTTCCTTTTTTATATGATAAACGATAAACGAAACGATGGCAAAATTTAAAATCGCGAAAGAACTAAGTTACGTCGATTTTCATTTTCATTAAAATTGATACTCTTTGATATAAAGAGCAGCTACTTCTCGTGATTGTCCTTGTTTCGAATTTCATATTCATCTCGTTTGACGAACGTGTTCGACAAAAACTGGCCAGAATTGACATAACCGGCAAGAAGCTCTAAGTGATGGAGTAATCGTTGGTAATAACACGGTTTCCTCTGATTTTCTTGGATTCGTTTAACGCGATTGTATGCTTTACTAATTAATACGTACATTGTATAACCAGTTTGTATCGTAGATCGTTTTTTATAACTATTGGCTCTAACTATTATCCTACCAGCTTCTTCGATCGAGAGACTCTTAAATGGAATTTAAGTCGATGTTAAATTCTATTTATTAACTAACTTAACAGTTAGCAAATTAACATTGGGCATATTACAATTATTAGATCTTTTTATTAAAAAGGCATTCGTTTTTTTTCAGAAACTTTTCGACTAAAAGCTTGTATTAATTAATTTCAATCGACTTTCTAATCAATTTAAAACCCTCGTTAATTGATCCTCGATTCGTCGTTTATTCATTGATTCCATTGCTGTAGAATTTCTATTTTCTCATGAAAACATTTTTCTTATTATCGTATAATACTTTCGCGACTTAATTCTGACGATTGAAAAATAAATGTACACGTCGTAAACTATATTATTTATGCCATAAATGTTCAAGATGATATCGATCGACAGGTATTACATATATTTTCTTCAAAAAGAACGAACACTCGCGAGAATCGTAATACTCTTAACTATTTCTGACGCAATGCCATCCTTCTTATTCGTCTTATGCTAAAACACTTTATAGAGTCCCAATTCTCTGCATCTGTTTATTAAATCGTTACGTGAACGAAACGATTAAAATTCGTGGATATTTTACATGTAACATCCCGTACACAGTCTACTCGACTATCCAACGTTGAAAGAATACGCGTTGAATTGCATGTCATCGCATCATTTCGATCTTGCAATTAATATGACGGTCCAAACTTCAGCCTCACCTTGCGATCTATATACACGTAGACAGGAAATATCGATGGTATATCGGCGAGGATCACCACGCGACGCAAAATACGCAACACTTTCCTGACGTCAACGTATTTATTGGCTATTACGTTGCAGACAATATTGCGCGTATCCAGCAAAAAATAATGCCACGTAGATTATGCAATTGAAATGGTGAGAATCTCCGTTATCAAGTGACGCTCGGATCGAAAGGGATCGAAACGAACATAAAACGAGTGTAAAGTATTGACATTATCTTTCACGAACGTTATCTTCGAGATCTTCCTTTCTTATGAATTCGAGAAATAAAAAACCTTAAGTACTTGAGAGATTTGGTGCTTCTCGATATCGCGTAGTTGACGCGTGGAAAATTAATAAGAGTCTTCCAGTAACTAACAATCTTTGCAAGGGAAAGGGAAAGAAAAAGATTCTGTAAGAGTTGTTTTATTTTTACGAGATATCGAATTGCGGAATGATTCTGTGGAAAAACTTACTAACGATTGTTTATCGATAACAACGGTACGTACGGTTTTCAATGAAATTATTAATAGAGAAATTCAACGAAAAAGTAATACACGTGCATTCTTTCCAAGAAAGAAAGAATGAAAGTTTACAGTAAAATTCGTATTATCCATATTTATTTAACGAGCTTTATTATATGATACTATATTTCAACGTTTGACGTGAAATCGTTACGCAGATTTTCTTTATCGAAGTTAAACTTCAGTCAGAATTTTCTCAAACTGAACTTTGTCGTTTATATCACTCCTTCCGTGAGTTCCCTGTCATAAGCATATTTATCGGTTTCTGGATTATTGATGATACGGACAACCTTCGAGTTAAACGTTCAACATTAAACCAAATATTCCGAAAACTCGAGACGTTCGAAAGCCTTGACAAAAGGGGGAAACCATAGAAACGAGGGAGGAAACGAAGAAGACGTAAAAAATTGGAGAGCATAGAAAGAAAGAAATATCGTGTGTCGCAACAGCGTGTTTTCTCCTTTTCGTAAATCGAGCGAACGTTAAAAAAGAAGAGAAAAAGAAATCGTTTCGGTTGGAAACAGGCGAATTCCGCGGACTGGACATCCTCGAAGCCTTTTTAATCGTCGACTGCTAATAGCCCATCGTCGTCTGCCAGGTGAGTCATCGTTCTGCATTCGTTCCATCGGTCAAGCCTGGAGGTGACCCTATGGAGTGATCTCGCGAGGATTGACCCACGAAAAAACGCCGGAAGTCAGCCACGTAATCCACTCGGGCACGCCAAGGCCTTCCACGAGTACGAGCCCTAAACGGTCACCAATTATCGTCTAGCAAGCGAGCGTCCTCTGGCTTTCAATAGCTTTTCATCGTTTGTTACGTTCGTACGATGGAACAGCCTCGAATTTTTCGATCTTTTAATCGTTCTCTTATCGATGCATCTTCTGTTTAAAAATCTCAATTTATATGTTCTTCGTCGAAGAACGAACAGATTTTATTCTACGCTACCGACTTGCGGAATAATCTCCTGTCACGTTCTTTATTTTTCATTAGAATAATTCATTACTATGTATATGTACTATGTAGTATGTTTTATTCAGTTTTACAGCTAAGAATTACACTTGCTTTACAACAGTCTACTTTTGCAAAGATATCTTACAGAGTGATTCAATAATATATATACTGCATAATTCATTAAAAAGATCCAATAGAAACGTCAACAAAGGCATAGCTCCATCCATTTTGTCTCTAACACTGACTGCGGTTGCTCTTTCTTTGCCCACTTGGTGAGTCGGAACGATGTGTATCGTATAAACGTCTCATCTATCTGTCCTAAAAATACTCTCTAGCTTATCGCCTTAGTCACAAGCTTCTGGTGCTGCGTAATAAGCCTCTATTATCATGTGACCGTGGTTTCTGGCGATTTTTATCGGCATATGGGAGTCCACCGACTTTTGTTTACGATTTTTCAACGAACGACCATGAGATTCTCTCGTATCTCGTCCGTAAATGGAAATCCAGTGCCAGTTTCGTGATCATCGTCCACGTCCATTGTTGACAAAGTTTACAAAGTTTGTATAAAGATACCATATTCGACGAACAGTGAAGATAGACTGTGTAGCGGTGCTATAGTACGATATAATTTTATTTATCGATCGTCGTTAATTTAATTCGTTCCAGATCCAACTTCTTTAGACTATAGGAGAAATTTCATTTTATCAGCTACTAACGATAAGAGTACTTGCAGGATGAAATACTTGAAGCTGTCAGTCAACGTGTTAATAAAATGTCAAGCAATTGCAAAAATCCACGAAATATATTACAGCAGACAAGACCGCGAGAAGGCAGACGTGTAAAAAGAAGCCACGCGGAAGAGAAGCGGAAGGAGGAGCAAAATGCGAAGAAAACGATGGAACTCCGTGGCGCGTGTTGCGGCATTTGCGAAACGATTTGGTATTATTATTAGTCGAATCGTTGGAATCGCGCAAGGTCGCGTCACCTCGTCTCCTGCCCCTTCGCGGCTCTCTCTCTCTCTCTCTCTCTCTCTCTCTCTCTCTCTCTCTCTCTCTCTCTCTCTCTCTCTCTCTCTCTCTCTCTCTCTCTCTCTCTCTCTCTCTCTCTCTCTCTCTCTCTCTCTCTCTCTCTCTCTCTCTCTCTCTCTCTCTCTCTCTCTCTCTCTCTCTCTCTCTCTCTCTCTCTCTCTCTCTCTCTCTCTCTCTCTCTCTCTCTCTCTCTCTCTCTCTCTCTCTCTCTCTCTCTCTCTCTCTCTCTCTCTCTCTCTCTCTCTCTCTCTCTCTCTCTCTCTCTCTCTCTCTCTCTCTCTCTCTCTCTCTCTCTCTCTCTCTCTCTCTCTCTCTCTCTCTCTCTCTCTCTCTCTCTCTCTCTCTCTCTCTCTCTCTCTCTCTCTCTCTCTCTCTCTCTCTCTCTCTCTCTCTCTCTCTCTCTCTCTCTCTCTCTCTCTCTCTCTCTCTCTCTCTCTCTCTCTCTCTCTCTCTCTCTCTCTCTCTCTCTCTCTCTCTCTCTCTCTCTCTCTCTCTCTCTCTCTCTCTCTCTCTTCGCGGCTCTCTCTCTCTCTCTCTCTCTCTCTCTCTCTCTTTCTCTGTGCCTCCTTCCCTTGTATCGTCGTAGTCACGATCGTGAACGCAGGCCCGTGGAAGCGAACGTGGAACGTCCTTTTCGCCGGGTCGACGCTAAAAAGGCGATGACGAACGCCCGAGATTGAAAATTCGGCGCGTGTAGATCGACCTCCTCGTGTCGCGCGAACATCGACCACGTGCGATTAGATCGATCACGGATCGAAACGTGTCGCGGATCGAAACGACAGAAGATAAGAATACACGACGCGAAGCTCCCTCGCGTTCTACCAAGGCCACCTACCAAATTCCCATTGGGGATTATCGCGACAGATTAAGTGTCCAGACATTCGATGTAACACAAGGACCGTATTATTATGGACGATGATATGGTTTGGTAGTTACTACGTAGTCTTGGAAATATTTGCTGTAAGTTGAATGGGGTGAAAATTTCAAATGGGAATTTTGTTATCGGCAAATAGCGTATTATTTAATGGAACGATTAATTTTGTAACTTCTTCTTTGCGTTTAGGGAAGATTAGAGGAAACTTGAATATTTTACATTGGTAAGCATTTCAGATGGAGAGGAAAATCACATCGAGGAGATGAAGATATTAATTGGACAATTAGGCCTGTGATAATTATTTTATATTGTTTGAAAGTTTTGAGAATCAGGTAATTTACAGACTGAGGAACGAGATAGGCTGTAACATGTACATAGTTAAGAACATTTTTCCAAGCGTATTATGTACAAGTTTTGCAAAATTGAGACGGTGTTGAATCTGTTTAATTAATAAATCGAATAGACAACCAGATATTTTACTTATCCTTGAAGATCCAATCAAAAGAATTATTGCTCTTGTCGTAAACTCGCACGGATGATATCTTGTATTTTCTCGTTGCATTCCTCACATTAACGAAAGGTTTGATTCAAAGCCAAGATTTTGTAGCAGGAAGCAATTACGAGGTCGAAGGTGGTGTGCTGCTTCGACGATAGCCACCGTTCCTGCACTTTGCCAGCGCGTTCCATTCTTTTTTCCGTCTGTGCATTCCCGGCCGTTTCCACTTAACGCCAGAATCCATTTTCCCGTCTATTCGCTTATTTCGCGGCTCGTGTTGCTCCACAGTCTGTGCATATCTTTCCTTCTTCACTTCGAGTGTCGGTGTCTGTCTTCTCTTCTTTTTCTTTGTATTTACCAAAGAATTATGGTTTTACAGTTTCGAACGTTTAATCGTCTCAAAGGAAGAACATCTTTTAATATCAAGTTTCCATTTCTTACTTTTTGTTTACTCTTTAAGAATTTTTATTCTTAATTACAGATGTAGAAACAGTCATCGCGAAATTAATTTTGCGCACAAGTATTACTCGAGAATATAATGCCATACTTTGGCAAAAGTTTTCTAGTAATTGACATATGTGCGTGATAAATAATCGAACTAAATTACGATATAAAGATTTCGTATTACGTGTTTGTAAGTGGTTTGTAATATTCCAACTGATTGTTTTTGGTCGCAGGCAAGTTGAAACCGTAAAGGTTGTTGCGTTTCAAAGAGAATGAACGGAATTTATTAAGTTTACTAGAACAACGATTAGTAACTTACAAAGATAAAATAACAATAATAGAGGCGATAGTATTTTTTTGGCTGAAAGGAAACGTTCTTGCGTTGTCGAAATTACATCTTCCTTGCGAACTCTGCTTTTGGAAAACTATTACCGTGACGAATGAAAACAATAATAGAAAAATAAACTGAAATTACGACTTGTGAAATATTACGATATATAGGATGAATTTTGATCGTATAAACACAGTAAAATAAAATAGTCGTAGGAATAGTAAAGCTTCTTTGGGCGAAGAACATTCATCAAAACTAAATCATCGAAATCGTAAACCTTGTTATACACCTTGCTAAGATTCGAAAACGGTTACAATGGTTACAGTCGCAATGTTTATTTTACGACGCACGTGTCGGTTGCGTCGACCATTTTGCCATCCAAGGACGGTGATAGCGATTTCGCTTCCTAGAACACGAGGGGTATCGCTGATAACAGGCGCAGTTTGCTTCGAGATCACAGCTCGTCCCGAGGTGACCGGTTTTATCGATTTTCTTCGTAGAATCAACGTTCTCCCGACAACCATCGAAAAAGGATTCTGCGTTGCTTTGCCGAATGTCAGCAATCAACCGGTCAGTCTCTCTATTTTTACGCTCGTAATCGTAAACTTTGTTTAAAAACCACGATAGAAGCCGCGCTACGTTCGCAGTGATCCAAACATTTCGGGACTGAATATGATTTATTATACACCAGAAGCCAAAATTTCGGATCACTTTTCAAATTCTAGGAATTATATCGAATTTTCTACCAATTTTATTATTCATTTATTTCCTCCAATTAACGTTACATATCATCGACGTGTAATTTCTTTTATTTCGGTTCGGTTAAGAAAAACATGCTCTTTTGCTACATGTTTTCATCGTTATGGAACATCTAATTGCCGATTTTTGGATGTTAATTAATTGTACGTATGTTTCATTGCATATTTCTATTGTAAAATTAGTATTATATCGTTATATAGAAATGTGATACGACGCGTATCATCGAGCTTTAATATAAAAATGAATTTAAAACGTGTTTCTTCAATCACGAACCTGCAAATCAAAGATGAAATGGTTTCCCAATATGAAGCTAGAAATATAACATTGAAATATCAGGAACGTGGAATAAAATTTTATTTACCGCAACAGAGGACAGTGACGCAATCGAGGCGATCGGATGTGGATCCTTCGCGACGTTTCCGGAACAGCGGCGGTTCCGTTAGGATGCAACGAACTGCGCCGAGTAACTGTAAAGGACTCGGCTGTGCTAACCTGTTGCAGCGGCCAACACGTTACGTCACGGTCGTAATGACGTTTATTAATAACGTTTCTCCGGAGAATGGCCGCTGAATCGCGTTTAGAAAGATTCAGAGATTGTAACAGTAGATACACGAACTGAAAACTTACTACAACCGGAAGAATGATATTGCATGACGTTTTATTAAATTTGTCAGATCACGTAAATTTCTCGTGTACAATATCAAGCGAAACAATTCCTCGATCGAATTATTGCTTGAATATATTTAAAACATAAGTGAGATTTGGAATGCTCGTTGTTTGAACGTGTTTGAGAATGTTTGACTATGAAGAATATTCTGAATGACGATTTTGAGCGAAGTGTTTCAATAGTACAAAACGATAATAAAATACAATAAGCATTATAAATAGCAAATACAAATAGTACAAAAAAATAGTAAAAAACATTTTAGATTCGTTAGAATTCCCACCTTCCTTGTGTACAATTTGAACAAAATTATTACATAACCTAATATTCTACATCAAGTTGCCACAACCATTTAATAATGTTGCTGAACTATAAAAACCACGCAGATTTATCAACGTCTGAAGCCTGTTTTAAAACATCAACATTTATCTCTATCTGAGACCTGAGTGAAATGAATGTGAGTAAAAGGAAAGAAATCAAACTACCACTGCTACCACTATATCTTTCTAACACTTTTGTCAAGAATTTTCATCTTCGTAATCGTAACCATAACTGTATCATGGTCACATATTATACTCTATATAACACGATACATTTATTCATGGAGCCACACAGTAAACATACAAATATATCACCTTTGCACATATACGTTTGAGAGGACAAGATAACGGGATCACTGGAAATTGTAAATATCTCGTACTTGTTGCAATTTTACTACTGGAAGTACGCGGTGTCATGTGCACTCGACCGATTAATTTCTACGGGTCATCTGCATATTCATGAGGGCGCGATCGCTCGCCTAAGCTTTTCCCACGTAAATCTCATTTCTTAATTGGCTCGTAATCGCGTTCTGTTCCCACTGGTGTAAAGGCGCGAGCATCTAGCCATAGGTTATCTCGTTCGGGAGATAAAAAACGATCACCTGTAAATCCATTACGCTCAGCTTCCTGCCAACAACTCGTTCTAGACCAAACATCTATTTGCCAACACAATAAAAACGAACATCCCGGACACGCGATTCCCAGAGTTTCGTTTCCCGCCGCTGTTTTAATTTGGTCGAGCAAAAATTCCTTTGTCCTTGCATCGTATCACGTGCTTCCTTTTGCTATATTTATTACTTGCTTTGTCAATTATTGGATTTTGATTAATTCGATTATTTTTCTTTGTTATTCATTGGAACCGTGTTATTATTTGTTGTTGCTTTATTATCGGTTTTTTTTATTTAATAATATCTTGCTGTTTTTCTTTATTTATCACCGTATCTTATGCATAATCGCTATTGTATGTATATCAGAAGCGGATAATTAATCTTGCACAAGATATTCAAGAATGGAGTATCTTTCGCATGAATCTTTATTTTTACTGGAAAAACAACGTGAAAGTTCGTTCTCAAAAATATTCTCAGATTTTTCGAAAATTTAGAGTATAGAATAGCATTTCTATAGATAAATATAGAGATGGTATGGCAGTGTTATAGACGTAAGTATAACGCGAATTTTACGAATTATGTAATCCTAGAATTAATGGTAAGAGTAGCACAATTAAAATAATCAGATCGATCCAACGTTCAAACGGATAGATATGGCGATTAATTGTAATTTTCGATTAATTAGAATCTGTCATCTGAAAGTAACAGGCTCGAAACGAATTTGCGAGTCACGTTGTATCTGATCGTCGTAACTGTATCTCTCGTTCTTCCGTGTTTTATTCCTTCAACCTTTCTATCAGTCAGGGACAAACTCGACGTGTCGTCAGCTGTAATTAGCTTCTGATAAGGCGTTATGTCGCTAAACAGCGATGCCACGCGATTATCTATGCCGTTACAACCATTGATATGCGTAGTAGCGTATTTTGATATCTGATGTTTTGAAAACACAACGTGGTTCTTTCCATTCCAGTAATATCTGATTGCCTGTGTTCGTCTCAAACCTTACGACGTCAGATGAAATTTTCTCAAAGGTGGCTCGAAATAAACGAAAACGATACTTGAAACTCGCCTCTTAAAAATCGTAATCGCGTTATAGCTGTAACAATTAGAAATATTAATTGCAAGATACGACACGTAGAAAAACGACTATGTTAGCCTATATGAAATATGCAACATCGTATCGTAGAAACAAATATCCGAAGAGAAATCGTAAACTTTAATACAATTCGCCGTCTATTACCGTCTTATGGATTACTTTGTTACAATACACTCGTGAGCTTAGTTATAGTTTTAGAAGAACATCAATTTGCAGTGTTGCAGGATTAATTTGAATAGCGGAGATTCCACTGTAAACTATTACGTTAATTACAGGATAAAAATAAAAACTGAGAAGAAAATCATAAATTTCAATATCGAATAGCACGAATTATTCTATTAACCTAGATAAAATATTGAATATCGTGTCGTAAAAATAAAAATCTGAGAGAAGTCATAAATCATAAACTTTATGAACGTTTGTTCTAGAAGAATATCGAATATCGTTTATATTCTAAGATTAATTCGGAGGTTCGACTGTAAATTCTCGGCCCGACCAGGCGCCATCGAAGGCCATCCAACGAAAATTATCTACGAACGAAGCTCTTCTCTCTACTAATGCTCATCCATCACGATAGGTTTCCCGCTCGTAAAAATCCCGGTATCTCCGATATCCAGCGACCTTGAACTTCGTATGGGCGACCCGGTCAGCTTCAGCTCGGACACTGCAAAGCCGGTCTTATCCGCACGGCATATAAATTACGTTATTTTTGCCGCGTTCCGCGTTCGAGGCTCGAGCTGTAAGACGATTACGTGGTGGTGGCCTCGGATAGAAAAAGATAGGAGACGATAAAAGAAAGAGGAAGTCGGGAAAGACGGAAAGAGACGCGATGCCCGACCAGACGAACCTGGAAAATAATTAATCGAATCACGTATTGCGTGGCTCTCACGTGAAACTGTGACCGGACGACTTGGCCTTGAACCGGGCCCTGTCAACGTGACTTCCTTTGGCTTATTCTCGCCTTTTCTTTGTCCTGCTCTCGTTTCCCTCTCCTCGAAAATGTTCCTTGCACGATCACGGTTTGCTGAATTTTCATTTGATACAGCGTTTAATCGAGGAATCTGTAGCGACGAGAAACATTTTAAAAAGCTCTAATATTCACGTGATATTTATCGGAAAGGAAACAAGGTACGACAATTCATTGGTAGGAACTGTCGGTTGACTGTGAATTCCTAGCAAGTTTGAAAAAGTATTTGCTGTCTGTTTATTTTATTATTGGCAAATTATTGGCAAGTGGAACTACCTTCTTATTGATATAAATTATAATTACGTGTCTCCATTGTTTGATCAGGAAAAGGCCACAATTTGCATCATTTTTTATCACACCTTTAACCACACCACTTTAATTTTAGTGGTTAACCACACTTCGGTAATTTTAGCGTTAATTCTAAATTGGAAAACCTAGGCCAGGTTACTCCGAATGCTTGAAGCTTCTGTTCTTCTTCTTCTTCGGTCTCGTGTTCGTCATCTTTGTGCGCCTTGTGCTGACACGTGGAAGTAAAGGAATATTTTGTTGGTTTGGTCGGTCCATAGGGTGACCTTGAATTTTTTTAGATTCCGTTATGAAATTGACATCAGTTATACATCCGTCTAACAGTTTCTCTTCGTTTGATTAAAACTCTCGTTTACGCTAGTTTACGATATTATTACGAGAAGTTCTTGGCCTCAGGTTATTTTCAGGCGAGTGCGGTTAATGAACGCTGTACGTTTTCGTGGGCGATGTAAAAGTTGGATGATATTTTTTTTTTTTTTTTTTTTTTTTTTTTTTTTTTTTTTTTTTTTTTTTTTTTTTTTTTTTTTTTTTTTTTTTTTTTTTTTTTTTTTTTTTTTTTTTTTTTTTTTTTTTTTTTTTTTTTTTTTTTTTTTTTTTTTTTTTTTTTTTTTTTTTTTTTTTTTTTTTTTTTTTTTTTTTTTTTTTTTTTTTTTTTTTTTTTTTTTTTTTTTTTTTTTTTTTTTTTTTTTTTTTTTTTTTTTTTTTTTTTTTTTTTTTTTTTTTTTTTTTTTTTTTTTTTTTTTTTTTTTTTTTTTTTTTTTTTTTTTTTTTTTTTTTTTTTTTTTTTTTTTTTTTTTTTTTTTTTTTTTTTTTTTTTTTTTTTTTTTTTTTTTTTTTTTTTTTTTTTTTTTTTTTTTTTTTTTTTTTTTTTTTTTTTTTTTGGTTTGTTTCGAAGCTTCCTGCTAGTAACGCAAACGGTGAAACTGTCTTGCAAAATTTTCTGAACAACGAAGGGCTGTGATACGATCGTAATGTTAATGATATTTGTTCGTTTAGATTGAAACAGCCATTTTCATGACAATATAAAAATGAGATATTCTTGTTTCTGGTCTCAATATTTCTGGAAACGATGAGTGACGTTTTTTTTATCTTATCTTTCAAAATTTAGCGTATAACAACGTAGTAAAATGGTAATATTAACAATATTTAGATTGAGATCTGCATAGACATGGTTCTCATGAAAATGTAAATATCACGTGTGTTTTTTTTTTGCATTTTTGAACTTCCATAAATCATGGATAAGTTTTCGCCAGAATATTTACGACTTGTCTGAATGTCTATCGTATGTAACGAAAATGTAGAATAAGATGGTAATATTTCGATTTAGATTTAAATAATCACGGTTACCTAGCAATTTTCAGTAATTATCAATTGTGCTTCTGGTCGTTCGAGTATAATCACGTCTTTTTGCATTTCTCAAACTTTCATAAATCATGGATAAGTTGTCACGAGAATATCTATGACTTGTGTTTTGATATTTATCGTACGTAACGAAAATGTGAAATAAGATTTAGGTAATATTTGGATTTAGATACGAATAGTCAGGGTTAGGTAGCTATTTCAGTAATTTTCACGTTTGTAGTCATACGAACTAGTAGTGATTACCGATGCTAATAAATAGTAATTGATAATAGTCGTTAGGTAAGCATGTAATTTTCTTCTGAAACTTATATATAACGATATGGAATAATGGAATGGTAATAAAGTTTAGATTGGAATAATTACGTTAGTTAGTAATTACCAGTGATTATATATTTACAATCATTCGGAAATAGTTACGTTTTATAACCGTGCGTAATCATTACACTTGACAATAAAAAATAATCGATTATAGATAAGGTAATAGTCGTTAGGTAACTGTTAGGTAATAGACAATAGGAGCTACTGCTTTTAAGTTAAAATGAAACCTATGTAGCCTTAGATCACTAATGATAATAGTAAAGAACAATGTTTAAAGTAATCAATTTGATACTCGTTTAATTATTCAATGACACTCATTTCGTCTAACTCAGATTTCAGTAATATGTATATATTTGAATCATTCATGGTTGTTCCTCATTATACAATGATAATGTAAAAGCACTTGCAATTAGCTGAACTTATCAAGCATAAGCATGCGATACACGCGTTCTTTGAAATCCTTGACTGGAACATTATACAATCAATCCTTTAAATTATTCCAAATTAGCGTAAAAAATACAAGGACAACCAACTAGAAACGAGTTATCGAGCATTGTCATCAAACTTCGCCGGCTTCTGTACAG